GGAGCCTCATGAGGTCTCGGACAGCGGTAGCAAGTCCCGTAGAAATAATAAGACCCAAGGGTTGGGTTGTGCAAATGATAAATGAAAAGGAATATATAAGAAGGGCCGTGTGCCGACAAATAAATGCATTTACTTATTATAAAGATAATAAGTGAGAAATATAAATTATTATTTATATTATGATATCCCCTATTTTGAGGGTCTTGGAAATTAAAATGTTGATTATACTTAGTATAGGTTCTATTGTACTTGTCAAATGCTTCCAAGTACTGACCTCCCCTTCACGGGGGAGGCCACCTCACAGTTTCAGGTAGAACTTGAAGGTTGCTACCATTGCCCGTTGCTTCGGGAGGATCAAGGGAGGAAAACGTGGTTCGTGCTTCTTCCGTTCTGTTTTAAAAACAATTACGTTAATGCTCATGGATACTATTTTCTGAATAATTACTTTGGGGGCTTGTATGACTAGTTATGCCAAGTGTGGCTTGAACAATTGTATTAATGCTTCCGCTGTTTTAATTGCATGTTTTACATTATGGTTGTTTATGGATGTACTATGTGTGAATGATATTCATGACGCTTTGTATAGTATGGATGAGTTGGATTGTGGTTGACTATTCGTACTGTACGGAGGGTTGTTGACGTGTCCGGCTAGGTCCGGGGCGTGACAATTTAATTGGTATCAGAGCCTTAGTCCGTAAACATCATAATGAAGCTTCAAAATTCTTTTTGAAAATGAAATTGAAAACCATGAGCATAAAGTTTTGTACTTATAGAACTTTTGGTACTTGAGTTGCAATGTCTCTAATTGTTAAGATGATACCCTTAACAATTGGCATGGCGGTGATTTGAGCCAAAATATGTCTTTAAGTGCCTATCAGTCAATTGACATTTGATACGAGTCTAATGACTCATTCTCAATTTCTTTCAGAAATGGAACGTCCCGGGAAGGTTACTCGACGGAACCCGACTGGCCAAGCACCGGGAGGATCCCGATGTGGCAGCCGGGGAGGATCGAGGGTGTCTAGGAGACAAGGCCGTGCAGGCCACTCGCTGACCGTAAGTGACGGTCATGTGGAAACCATAGACGAGCACTATGAGTCCGAGGAGGATTCAACTTACCAATCGGGAACCGAGCCGGTTGAGACCCCATATGATGGGGAGTACGACGATGTTAGTGACGAGAGCGATGATAATGAAGCTCTCGAACGGGTTGAGGAATTGCTCCGGCAATACCACCAAGATCACCAAAGGCGCCGGGCAAGGCGTGATTTAGAAGGGGCTTCAAGGAGAGGAAGCCGCGCAACTCCTAGGGAGATGCTGAGGTCCCTATAATAAGGATCTCAAAGTACCTCAAAGAGGCAAGAGACTTGGGATGTAAACCGTTTGATGAAACGGGGGACATCTCCGTGGCGGCTGAGTGGATCAAAAGATTCAACGAGGCGGCCCTCGACATGCAACTACCACCCCACATGAAGTTGAGAGTAGCCACGAGGCTACTAGAAGGCATGGCGTCCACATGGTGGGATGGAACAAAAGGGAAGTACGGCGAGGCTGTCACTTGGGAGAATTTTTGACAGGAGTTCTTCAGCCAATACTACTCCGACTTCGAGGTGAACTTGAAGAGGAGGGAGTACACGAATTTGACCCAAGGAGGTGAATGTATGGTGAAGGAACTTGAGCACAAATTCAGAAAGCTTGCTGAGTTCATACCGGAGTACATTTGTGATGAAAACCGGATGGTGAACCACTTCTGGGATGCCTTGGACCTTGACATACGCGAGAGGGCAACACAATTGCCTAATATGACGTTTAGTCAAGTGGTTGAACAAGGCTTGAAGGGGGAGAAAGAGTGGGAGGAAAGAAAACGAAGGAATGCCGAGGAGGCAAAGAAAAGAAAATGGGAGAACCATGGCCCTCAAGGTTCTAACAAGAAGGGGAACCACGGGGGAGGCGGATCTTTCAAAACCCCTGCACCACCGGTAAGGGGAAATCAAGGCCCGAATGGGCAAAGCTCTGCGTCACAAGGCTCAGGCGTGAAGAAGTGCAGCAATTGCAAGAAGAAACACATTGGCAAGTGTCGCGACCCCCCGAGGTGTTATCAATGCGGGAGGTCGGGCATTTGAAGGTGAGTTGCCCACAACTTGGGCGAGCCATGGGGGCCGGACCAAGTAGTGGAACGACAGTGAGTAGGAACCGAACCGGAGCACCAAATGCTAGCGGTGGGCACGGTGGGGCGAGCGTAAGCAACGCGCCATCCGTAAATCAAGGAAGGACCCAAGCCCGGGTCTATGCTATGACGGAGGCGGATGCTCGTGCCAACCCGGACTCCGTTGCGGGTAATTCCTTAAACTCACGTATTAATCTATTATAAACAATAGGAGTGTGGAACTTGTAAATTTATAACCCCGACGAGTTTGTTCGGGTTTGGGGAGAAAAAGGGGAGGAGAATCATCGCCCTGGGCGAATGCCGCCCGGCATTGACGAAAGCCGCCCGACTTTCGTCTTGATTTATTGGGAAAAATACTACGGCAACGAATGCCGGCCGGCTTCCACCGAAAACCGCCCGGCTTTCGTATATATTAAATCAACAATTTTCCTCGCAAACGAAAACCGGCCGGCTTTCACAGAAACCTGCCGGCATTTGGAATATTTGTCCCGGAATAATCTGCGGCGCTCAAAGTCGCCCGGCTTTGGTGAAAGCCGCCCGGCTTTCGTTAGGCCTGGGGATTCCTGCGCTGCTGAAACCCGGCCGGGTTTCGTAGAAACCGGCCGACTTTGAAATCCATTCCTTGAATAAAACTACGGTGACGAAAACCGGCCGGCTTTCATGAAAGCCGTCCGGCTTTCGTGATTATATACAAGGAATTATTCTCGCAGACGAAACCCGGCCGGCTTTCGTGAAAAGCGGCCGGCTTTCACCTGGTTTGGTCCTAGAGCGGTCCTAAAGGTGAGAAACCGAGAAATTTCAGAAGGGTGTCGAACGGACTCCACCCGAACCACAACAAACATACGCTACGACTTAAGAAACGAGCCTATTAATTAGATAGTGTGTCTTACATTACTTATGAATGTAGGAACACTAAAGATAAACGGGAGAGACGCAAGGATCCTTAATGATACCGGGGCGCAACGATCATTTGTGAGTGAGGCGTTCGCCGGCGGATTCAACGGACCACTTGTACCGATGGCTCAAACCCTATTGGTATCCACGCCTCTAGGGGATTATATCGAAAGAGATAGCCACTATCCATCGTGTGAGGTGGAGGTGGAGGGACATAACTTGACGTGTGAATTCGTACCCCTGAGTGACGTGCACTTGTCGTTATGTGCACTCAAAATAAATACAATACAACACTAATACGTAGTATAGTGTAGTAAGGTTCGTATCCACAGGGAAAGGAATACTTTTCTTTTAAATAAATAGTAACAAAAGAGGGATTTAGATTTGTTTTCTTTAAAAACACTAAGATAAACAACCTATATGAGTTTAATTCAATGAGATGAAGACTTGGTTTTGCTTTTATCCACTTAATGAAATGTTCGTCGATCCCGGTTATATCTTTAACTATCTTCCTCTCGAATACTCAATCGAGGAGTATATCCAGTTCATCGAGGGTAGTTATTAATAACGAGATGTGTTCATTAATAAAACTTACTATCGAGTCAATATAGAACAAGAGCCGTATATTAACTTGATAGTAGCAATAAACTTAAGATGAAAACGATTGAGATTGATAACCTCAACACAAGCGGTTTATTGGTTTAATCAATATAATTAATTCCCCTTGGCATATTAACCATGAGATGCATGCATTAATATTCCAAGTTTACTACCGTTGAAAGAACCGGATTAATAACAAGCGTATTAACCGATCGATTCTAGTAATAATTAATATGAGAAACAATACTAGTTGATACTTTAAGTAATGTTTAAGATATCAACATGAAATATGAATGGGAATCAATTAATACTCAAGGAAGAATATTAAAGAAAATGAATCCTACTATGATTAATATCAAGATGTTAACTAATTGTCATCTTAGTAACACTCCCCAATATTATCATAGAGGAAGAAATAGCTATTACTATAACCAATGTCAAGATGTTAACTAATTGTCATCTTAGTAACACTCCCCAACTTTGATATAGAGATAGTATTTTGAAAGAAAGAATTAATATTCAAGGAAGAAGATTAAAGAAAATAACTCACAACTTACAAATTCATTAAGCTTCAAAGTAGCAAAACCAAGATGGAAGAGTTTAGCTCCTCATTTGGAGACTAAACATGATGAAAAATATAAAGAAAGAGCTATTCTATACTGAGCTTAGATGTACAAAGGAATTGGATATCTTTTTGTGAAGGAAAGGAGGTGTATTTATAGGTTTTTGGGATGGGATTCGGGTACTCAATCGGGTATATACATGGTACCCGATCGAGTACGTGTGTAACACTCGATCCGAGGCATACTCGACCGGTTTCAGGCTATTTTCTAAGAGTATACCCGATCGAGTATATATGAATACCCGGTCGAGTATGCTTAGAAAATGGTATTCGGGCCATACTCGACCGATCTTCGTTTGAAATTCAAAGGCATACCCGATCGGGTATGTCGGACTACCCGATCGGGTATAGACATAAAATCGTGGCCGAAATCTTCCCTGCATGTTCCCTTGTCTTCGGATCTGATCCGATTTGAAGTTCCAACCTAATACCCGATCGAGTATAGCTAATACTCGACCGAGTATAGACCAAAATTCAGGATCTTCTGTTGTCTTTGAACTTTTGCACCTTCTTTCCACTTTTTGGGTTCACCAACTGTACTTCGAGTGATCAATACCTGCTTGAGCTCAGAATATATCTAATCTAACCTATTTACAAGAATTTAACAATCTAATCTATTACACCAAAAGTGTGTAATTTCCAAAGTAAAAGTCAAGCAAAACTAATTAAAGACATAAACATAAATATGGAAATTACGAACGTATCAACTCCCCCACACTTAAACATTTACTCGTCTCGAGTAAGATCAAATGTTTACAAGTGTCAATGTTTGTCCAAAAGTTCCACAGTTCAACAAAAACACAATACAAACACAAAGACCACCAAGGATGACAAAGAAAAATGAGTTTTAAACTCAAATTACAAAAGAGCATCTTGGGTTTAATGGCCTCCTAGTGTTATCTTCTTTTCTCCTCCTCTCTTCTTCTTTATCTTGAATCTTCTTATTCTTCACAAGGATACAATGAGTGCCTGCAAGAACAAACATTTCTCTCATATATCTCATTTTGCCTAGGAGTCTTTTCAGGTTTTCATCCTAGCACCTCTTTTCATTTTCCATTCTCTCCAACTCACTCATTTTTTTTATAAGCCTTTTTTGCTTAGATTGCCCATTTTGTTGGGTTTTCAACCTAACTAGCATTTATTTTCTTTTATTTATTTATTTATTTATTTATTTTTTGTGCAAAAGTTCAAAAGAATTACATGCATAGTGCTAGGTAGAAATGAAAAGTGCATACCATCATGAGTGTCTCCCCCGCACTTGAATCAAGCACTGTCCCAAGTGCCCGCCTTCTCCTCCGTAGTAGCTCCCTCCGAAGCCGCTCCCTTGTCCACCATCTCCCATGTAGGTGTCCCCGCCATCTCCGCCGTCGTACCCTCCACCCCCGGAGCCCGATCCTCCAAAGTTACCCCAATGAGTGGGGTCATACCATGAGGGTGGTGGAGGGGGGTTCACCATGGTATGGAAGGATCCCTGTTGTGCCATATAAGAGTACATAGGTCCGTAGAACCTATGTTGGTCTTCCTCATACTGATGTCTATCGGCCTCCCTGAGCTCCTCCAATCGTTGAAAGCCGGCTCTTTGCTCATCCTCCAATCGTTGAAAACCGGCTCTTTGCTCCTCCTCTAATCGGTTGAGCCGGTTGTCCATTTGGGCTATTCCCGTAAGCAGTTGTTGTTGACCCTCCAGAAGTTGTTGAAAGAAGTCGGGTGGTGGAGGGTTTTGGCTCTGTTCTGGGAGGTCCTGGCCCATATTGTGATGGCTATGGAGTTGAGCATAGGGCTCGTAATCGGGTTGGTGTTGGGGAGGTTCTTGTTCGGGTTCCTGGAGATGTGGTGGAAGGGCGTGTGGGAAGAGGTAATGTTGCTCCGCTCTTCCTGTTTTGTAGTGGAGTTGGGGGAGTTCTGGGTTGGGCAGGAGGAAGTATTTGAGGGGTTTGGGGTGGATGTGCCAGTTGTACATATTTCTGGGCATTTCTTCACCATAAACGGTGTGTGAAAAAGATGTGCAGCCCGAGTGGCCCAGCCAAGCAATGTTCATCAAACAGTAGTCGGGTATAGGAGAGTTATCCGTATACCCGAACTTTGTGGCCAAGTGCATAATCACCCCGCCCACTACAATAGCACCCTTTGCCACGCTTTCTTTTTTGAGATGTGCCCACATAAGATTACATAGGTTGAAATCTACGTGGACACGGAATAGGGCTACCGATATCAGGCACACATCCCCCATCCTAGTGTGATGGTTGTTGGGACGTCCAAGCAAGGAGTTGGCAAGGAATTTCAAAAATAGGCGGAGGACGGGATGTTGGACATGACTAATATAGAGTTGGGAGGAGCTAAATTTAGTCTCCCCGGTCATCTTGGTCCATAGGGTATGGCCGAAGGCGGTATTGTCGGATATAGATTTTTGGTACGGGACCGGAATACCAAAGTGTTCGGCGAACTCAAGTTTCGTGATGGTGTGGTTGTGGTTAAACAATCGAAACTTAAGTTTATCATCCCTAAAATCCTCTTCATTGTTCTCAAATTGCACAGAGCTTAGGAATTCATAGATAATTTTTTCATTTGAGTGATATTGCATTCTGAAAATTTTATCCATGCTCAACTCATGAAAAAATTTCTTCATCATTTTGTACACTCCTAATTCCTTTAAGGCATCATGGAATAAAAAGCGAGAATGTTTAACTTGCCTTTCAATTGTGGACATGAAGCGTGTGCGGTGTTCGTTGTCCATGAAGAGGATATCCTAGTAGCCCGGGATGGATGCCCTAGTGTTTGAGCTTTGCCCTTTCTCTTTCCTTGGAGCCATTTTGGAGTGAATTTGGCCTTGAAATCCGAAATTTGAAGGTGGGGGGTAGGGTTTTTAGGACCTCTGAAGTTTGGGGGAGAATGGGATTGATGAGTATGAGTGTGTAGAGGAGGATGAGGGGAGTGTTTTGGTGTTGAAATGGGATGATTTGGTGAAGAATTGGAAGAGATATTGTAGAGAGAAGGTGTAAAAATGGGGGTTGGGGGCGTTTTGTTCGAATTGGGGTTGGGGATTTTGGGGAAGATGAAGTGTTTGGGGCTGATTTGGGGTTATAATACCCGTATACCCGATCGAGTATGTGCTGATACTCGGTCGGGTATGTCTGGAAAGTGGCCTTTTTGAGCAGCCTGCCTCCTGTACTCGATCGGGTAGTGTGTTGTTACCCGGTCGAGTATGTCTGGAAAATGAAGTTCATGAGCAGCCTGCCTCCGGTACCCGGTCGAGTATTCTTCCATACCCGATCGGGTATGTGCTTTTTTTCTACTTTTGAGGCGTGTACTCGGTCGAGTGTGGGAGTCAGTCTCCTTGAACTTTAGCATTTCTATACATACCCGACCGGGTGTATAGTGATACCCGATCGGGTATCCCTTGTTTTTCAATTTTTGAATGCTTCCTCGATCGAGTAGTGCCCGGTTCCCTTTTCTTTTGGTCATACCCGACCGAGTATCAGGTTGTACTCGATCGGGTATGTCCCCAGATGCTCCAAAACCTGCATTTTTTATTTCTTTTCCTCCAAACCCGTGATTAGTGCCCTCTCTCACTGATCTCTCAAATAATTAGACAAAAAATGAATTATAAACACTTGAATTAAAAAAATAAAATAAACTTGGGTTGCCTCCCAAGAAGCGCCTTAGTTAACGTCGTGGCACGACGTTATTCAATTTTTTTTTAAGTGGGATCGTGAACATCCCTTGATTTATTTTTTGTGGCCTTATTTAGCCATTTTTCAAATTTATTTTTCGGCCTTCTCCAGTAAGGCCGGGGTTTCTTTCTCATTGTCACCTCCATCTTAGGTGGATTTGTTTCACATTTTATTACATTCCTTCCTGTCAAGGATGACTTCTCTCGTTTATCTTTCTCTTCTTGAAGAAATCTGATTTTATCCGCTTCTTTGAAAAACAGCGGTTCTAGTGGTTCAACAACATGTAAAGAACACAGAGTTGGATTTTGCATTTGTTTTTTCGTAGAGTCCAAGATGTTGAACTCTATTTTTTGATCATCGAACTCTAAAGTTAGTGAACCACTAGAAACGTCAATTTTCGTTTTTGCGGTCTTCATGAAGGGTCTACCCAAAAGGATGGGTGTTGTTTGGTGATCAGTTCCCATTTCAAGGACATAGAAGTCAACAGGAAAGACCATATTTTCTACTTCTACTAGCACATCTTCTACTACACCCTTCGGGTAAGTACTAGAATGATCTGCCAGTTGAATTACTACACCTGTTTGATGTAATGGGCCAAGTTGTAGAGTTTTATAAACAGAATAGGGGATGACATTTATTGATGCCCCTAAATCCAACAAGGCCTTAGGAAATGTGGTGTTTCCTATTTTGCAAGGGATAGTGAACATGCCTGGGTCGTTACATTTTTCGGGGAGTTTTCTCTGAAAAATGGCCGAGACGTGTTCACTAACTCTAACCTCTTGTTTCCCTTTCAATTTATCTTTCCTTTTTGTTTTGCATAATTCTTTTAAGAATTTAGCAAAACGAGGGACATTTTTCATTAAGTTAAGAAGCGGAATGTTTACCTCACACTTTGCGAAGGTTTCATAGATGTCGGCATCTTTTTCTAGCTTCTTCGTCTCCTTCAGCGCCTCAGGAAATGGGATTTCTTGTTCGTATGATGAAGGTGGGGGAAGCTTGGTTTATGTGAGATCCTCCTCCGGTGGGACTACTTTTTCAGGGTCCACACCCTCAGTCTCTTCATCGTTCTCTTCTACCTCTTTCAACGTTGCTCCACTTCTCAACGTTATAGCATTCACATGTTGTCTCGGGTTTTGCTCCGTTTGAGATGGGAGTTTACCCGAGTCTTTTGTTTCAAGTCGGTTCACGGCATTTGCAATTTGACTGACTTGACTTTCCAAATTCTGAATGCTGGATTTGGTCTCATGCTGAAATTGAACCATGTTTTGTTGCATGGTTGAGACATTTGAGGTGAGTGCTCGAATCATGTCCTCGGTGGACATACTTGAGCTTGACGTCTGGCCTTGGTGCTTTGGGAAAGTTGGTGGCAAGGGCTGATTTTGAGGATTCCCATACCTCAAATTCGGGTGATCTCTCCACCCAGGATTGTAGGAGTTAGAGTGTGGATCATACCTCTTTTGGCCTTGAAATCCCAAAGCATTGACTTGCTCGGAATTCTCCTCTTGTAGTGTTGGGCAGGAATCGGTGGGGTGCCCCTGTGTCGAGCATATGCCGCAGACCTTGACTTCTTGGTGTTTTGGATTTAAAAGGAAATCCTTTACCAAAGAAGTCAAGCCGGCTACTTGACTTTCCAACGAGATGTTGGACTCTGCTGCCATGACCCGTTTTGATGATGACCTCCCATTGTAGTGTCTAGAATTCTCGGCCAACTCCGAGATGAGGTTCCTAGCTTGGGAAGGAGTTTTGTTGACAATTCCCCCTCCAGATGCTGCGTTCACCAGGCGTCTATCTTGCTCCACAAGACCGTCATAGAAGTAGAGGATGAGGTCTTGCTCTGTGTAACCGTGATATGGGCAGCTAGCACACAATTTTTTAAAACGCTCCCAATACTCATATAATGTCTCATCATCTTTTTGCTCGATGTTGCTTATTTGTTTTTTCAAAGATGATGAGATGGATGCAGGGTAGTACCTTTCTAGGAAGCACTTTTTCATTGATGCCCATGTATCTATACTCCCTGACGGGAGATAGAATAACCAATCCTTCGCCGTGTCTTTGAGGGAGAATGGAAAAGCCCTCAACTTGATTTGTTCCTCGGTGACTCCATTTGGGCACATGCTTGTGCAGACAATATGGAATTCCGAGAGATGTTTGTTTGGGTCCTCGCCCCTTAGGCCATGGAAGGATGGCAGTAGATGTATGAGCCCAGATTTTAGCTCAAATGTATTACCTTCATCGAGTGTAGGGAAGGTAATACATAATGGTTGTTGATTGAGATTTGGAGCAGTGAGCTCCCGT